TGAAAGTTCGGAAACTCGCATCAACTCGATAATTATCTGTCCACACAAACCGAAAGCTTTTACAAATATTGGAAATTTCAAATATTTTAGAAATTTCTGTAAGTTCGTGAATATCGGCAAGTACAGAATTGCGGTAGAAATTTTGAAAATGACATCATTTTGGGAAGTATTGAACAATTCAGAACATAGATTCTTGGAATTTTCGGAATTTTCGGAACTTTCGCAATTTTCTTTTTCGAAAGTCTGAACAGTACTGAACGAACTAATATTTGTGAGGAGATTTGTCTACATAAGGCCTACGCACCGCATTCATCAATCCAATAATAATCATTGCATACACTAACGGTGGGTTCTTAGACAGACAGACTCAAACTTTTAGATTTCTTTTTTATTATGCGTGTCGTATCGGCGATGGACCACTGACACACATGGTTTACTGCTTTGACTCAACTTTTGAGCAATGTTTTCTTTTCTTCCATCGTATATAACCTTTAGTGTTCATATCAATTCTTGACTGGCTCGTTTAAAAGCATCCAATTAGCCTGTGCACCGATAATGTAGAAAGGTATGGAAAATGGTAAGCTTCAGTGGAACTTTTATTTACATAGATCAATGAAAATCCTCTACCATTTTAGGAGGGTTGAATAGCTGAAAAATGAGAAATTTGAAGATTTTTCAACAGAGTTCTGGAATATTTTTCCAAATGGAAGGTTCACCTATCAAGTTCGTTATAGTATTCTGAGTTTTAAAAGTGGAAATAGCATATTTTGAGTTTATTTTATGTTCTTAGATATAATATTATACAATTCTATACACAGTCCCATTAGAAGTAAGAAATCTTCGAGATAACGTACTATTTGAATTTTAAAAATCATAAAACTGTAGTATAGGCGTTGTACGTTGTTATTTTCTGTCACTATAGCAAAAATAATATTTGTTGCAGCAGACTTTGTTAAGAATACATTGAGTTATGTTATATTATAAATAAAAATGTTGAAAACCCTGTGGCTTAATGATTAACTCAATTGGATACATTTACTAAAGTATGCTTCGATAGAAACTATATGTGTATGAACTAGAATTTCTCGAGAACACTGAATAAAAAGAAAAGACTTTTTATGAACTAAGTTTATTGAGGAACAAAAGTTGTTAGTTAAAGATTGAAAATAATTGAATCATGACTCCATTCAATATCAAACTATTCTATCAATGGAATGTATGAAATGATTTAATAATCTCTCTCTGCAAAATCTCAAACTACTAAAAATACGTAATGTTTTCCATTCCATTTCTGTGTCCGATACAAATCGCTTGTAACATTTAAAATAATTTCCGTAGCATGGAAAAATAGAAGCATATGATCAATTTTATCAAGAGAAAACAATATCTATTTTAGATTATTAAGAGAAGAATACTTTTTTATACAGTTTGATTTTTCAAAACTTGAACAAGTATGAGTTTCTTTTAATCGAAGTTGCCTGTCTTTGAATAAATTTGCATCGTTCAGAATTTCATCCCTTTTTTTTTGTTTTTGTGATCAGTTCGTATAGATTATCGTTGTATTTTTATTGTTGTATGAAAAAAGAAAGCTTCAACGATTTGTTTTTCAGATTTGAAATTATGTCGTCGGATAATAGATATGTTGTAATCATTGGCGAAACTGGAAGCGGTAAATTTTCCCGTGAAGTTTTCTCACATAATCGTCGATCTTTTTACTTTCTTAGGTAAAAGTACTTTAATCAACTATTTAGCCAACTATTTTAAACGTGGTAAACTTCATGATCCAAAAATTGCCATACCTACTCGCTTTCATCCTGCAAATATGACTTTTCCCCATCAAGAACGGTCTGTTGAGAATATAACGACAAGCAAGACTGCCGATTGTAATTGTTACACGTTTGATCTAGAAGATACTGCTTTTCATTTTATCGACACGCCTGGTATCAATGATACGGGTGGCCTCATACAAGACAGTCGAAATGTTGAAAAGATCTTTACCTACATTGAACAGCTTCCTGAAATTACAGCACTTATTCTGATTTTAAACGGAGCAGTTTCTCGTGCGACTATAAATATTTGCCACGTCTTATCGACATTTCAACAACGTGTACCCGATATCGTGTACAACAATATGATTATAATTTTAACCAATTGTCAAATACACACTGTTAACTTTCGTCCTAGTGATCTTGGCCTTCCCATCGGATGTCCTGTTTTTCACATGCAAAATTCAGCTTTTTCGTCAGACTCCCGAACTTGGTCACAGAAGACACGAAATATAATGGAATTGGACTTTAAAAAATCGATGGATACAATTAGTCAACTTATTCTCAAGTTTCTGGAACTCAAACCTCAGTCAACAGCTGATTTTAAAGATATGGACACTGTTCGTAATACCATCAAACGTGAATTGCATGATGCACGCATGATGTTAATGGAATTGCAGCACCTTGAAGATGAACTTGTTGGATATGAATTGTCGGCAGAAATTCACAGTCTGAACGTGGAAAAGTTTCGAAATTTCGTTCATTGCAAGGTTGTAAGACGATATGAGCGAGTTCCTACTGAATATTACTCGACTACTTGTAGTCGTTGTAATACCGTATGCCATGAAAGATGTCAACTCAACGAAGTGCCAAGAACTGGTAGTACAACATTTCTACGCTGTCATGCAATGACACTTGGGATATGCCGAAAGTGTAAATGTGTTGCAACAAGTCACTATCATGATCGATCTGTGCTACAATTAGTCGAACGCACCGTTCAGGATGTCGTATCTACTCTTGAAGAACGCTATAGAGAAGCTAAAGCAGGAAAAATAAAGGCCAATTCTGAATGCAACAGTATTCAAGAAGCAAAAAAACTGATCGAATCTGAATTCACGAGTCAGTATAACAAAGTGAAGAAAAGTGTAGAACGACTGCGTCAAAAATGCTCCAATGTCAATGTGTCGGCTGAGTTATACGATTTTATAGTTTGCTTGAAGAACGATATTGGTACGCTTAAAACGTCATCTGTCATCGAAAAAAGTAATGCTTTCATTGCCGCTCTTGAACAGCTATGCAAGGATATGGAAAATACCGAGATACCTACTCTCGTTAATAAAGGAAACCAGCAACCACTACCATCAGCTCTTCCTGCCCGCAAGTTCAAGCTAGAAGCCAGGCGTAAAACCTTGATACCACAAACGTCGAACACTTCAGCTAATTACAGAACTTCACTTGCTGCTTCACAATCAATCGAGTTATTGCGACAAGGAAACACTGAAGTTACTGCAACTTTGAACAATATATCGGCTTTTTCTATACCTGAGAACAGACAGTCTTTGATCTTGCAGCAAGCTGAAGACAGAGTAGGTGATGATGCATTTTTTAATGCAGAAGAAAATTTCATTCAAGTCAATAACTCAGATAAGCAGATTGTTCTAAATAGACTTAATTCTAGTCCCGAAAATCAGATTAGGAGAACAGTCCACGACATTGGTGTTTCTACCGAAGAAGCAGTTGAAAATTTTGCAGCATTGACTCTGGACGCGCTGATCAAGGCGAGTAAACGAACTCAAAGTAAAGAGATTAGAAAAGAACTTGACAATCGTTGCCGCGGTAAATCATTTGGATTTCTGTCGAATAATCAACATCTTCAAATATGTATGTATTTTGCTGAACTTCGACGGAATGACTTACGACAATTGATACGTATGCGAGATCAGCTTTCGGAGGAAATTCAAGAAGCAACTTCGTATGATCCGTTCGATATTGAGAAAGCAGACGAAGCCAACCTTATGAAATTGGCTGCTCTTAATCTTTTAATATTTTCTGAATCTAGAGAAAGTTCTGTTTAATTTTTTTCAAGCCTCAACTGCTTTTATTAACATAATATTTTTCATAATATATCGAAGTATATTGATCATTGAGATTTTCTAGAATCCTATTGAAAATATTTTTACTTTTAAAATGCCTTCTAGATAATATACAAAGCTTGAGAAATCTGCTGTTTTTCGCTAAATCCATCGAATTGCGATCAATTTTCACAATTGCATATTCGTTAACTTTATGCTCGAGTCATCGTTACACGACTGTCTTGCTCTATAGTGTAGTATCATGTCAAGTATTAAAAAAACTTTCACAACCATTAAAGAAGCGGTCATTGGAACTCAAAAGCATCATCAATCTTTGTCTTCAGATGAAACATCTTCGACTATACCTCAACAACAGGAATGTCTCGATACCAGTGGCTTAGCAAAGATCTTACTTATTGGTGAGACTGGGGCCGGCAAATCTACATTCATAAATTATTTGACCAATTACTTTCGCCAAGGCAGTTTACAAAATATCAAAGTATCCATACCGTCTAAATATCGTCCCGACGTTACTGAAGCATTTGCCCATTGTGAGCATGACATTCAAAACACTACTCAATCAAAGACAGATGCATGCAATCAGTATATGTTCGCCTTTAATGGAAAACAATACTTGTTTCTCGATACGCCTGGTCTCTCGGACACACGAGGTGCTACACAAGATGACAAAAATATTGTCAAAATCATCGATTCAGTTGAGAATCTTGGTGGTCTCACTGCCGTGATTATCGTCGTTAATGGAGCAGTGAGTAGACTGACAATCAATCTTCGGAACGTCATTGCACGACTGCGTGGCAATCTACCTGACATCATTATGAACAATGTCATTCTCATATTAACTAACTCCACTCGACATGCAGCAAACTTCAACCTACATGCCCTAAAACTGAACGGAAATGTTTATCCATATTATATGCAAAATTCTGCATTCTCACAAGATCCATCTACGTGGACTTCGTCCGCTCACGAAGCTCTCCAGTGCGATTGGGATCAAGCAATGGACGAAATCAAAGCTATGATAGAGACTATCGATACATTCAAAACGAAATCAGTTGTTGCATTCAAACAGATGAAAGACATTCGAAATGAGATTAAAACACAAATGCACACTGCACGCTTGGAAGTTAGCAAAATCCAAAAAATGCAGGATGAAATTGAAGCTTTTGAAGTTGTCTTGAAACAATCGAATGATGATCTTGTTACCTACAAAGAGTACTCAAAAGAACGTGAAGTAGAAAAGATTGAAATCGTTGATGCTCCGTTTCATAGTACACTTTGTCAAAATTGTAATTATGTATGTCATTCAAGATGTAAATTAGACGAAACAACTACCGTTGGATCTCAGATCTTTCAACGTTGTTGGGCAATATCTAATGGGAATTGTCGACAGTGCACGCATAAATGCTCCTATACCTCTCATTATCATGCGAAGAAAACAGTGAAAACAAGTAAACAAAAATTACAAGATGTTATTGCAGAAATCAAAGCTAAGTATGATCAAGCCGCACAAAATAAATCGGATTATCAAAAGAAAATTACATCAACAGCTGATGCCAAGAAGATGTTAGAAAATGCATTATTACAAAAGAATGAAGAAATCAAACAACTATGCATTCAATTACGTCAACTATGTTCAGGCTTCAATATTGCTCATGAGTTACACGCGTTCATTGATCAACTCGAAGTAGAGGCGGCAATACTAAAAAACATAGAAGCAAAACAACAAGCGAATGCATTTATTCGCAGTTTGAAAGAGTTCTGTGATATGATCGAAAAAGACCAAGATGTTAGTCAAAATCAATCGACCAAAATGAATATTATGGATACCGAACGTCCCGTTCAAAGTCAAGCTCGTTTACCTAAAACTTTGTCCGCAAATACTATGACATCGACACAGCAACTATATGGCAGTGCAAATCCTCACTTCGAATCTCCTGCAGACTCCAACTCATATGCAAACAATGATGTGCTTCAAGCGCTTCGTGCCATAAGAGAAAAAAAGAAAAAAGTACCACGCAAGAAACTAGCATCTAACAATGAAAGTGAAACCGATGAAAAAGAAGAAGATGAAAAGAACAATGGTGTGACGAGTGAAGATAGTAACCAAGAAGAAAGCGATGAAAAGAGTAAAAAACATCAGAAAAAAACCAAGAAACAATCTGCATCAAACCTTGCAACAACTGTTACGAATGATCCTGACCAGTTCAAAACGATGACTATTGACGAACTTCTTACTCACTATCGGGCATGCACTGAGCTACGAATGACCAACTTCATCGTCCACGAAATGATGCAACGAGCGAGTGGAAAGTCAGTTGGTCCTTTGAACTCTCCTGAACGTATTGTGGAATTCACGGCAAGCTCTCACAAATATTGTGCTCTCAGAGCACATGAATTACGTCAAGAGTATGATAGATTAAAATCACGTATCGCAGTGATAACTGAGCCAGATATACTAAAAATTGATCAGGTTCCGCAAACAGTCCTGTTCGATATCGCTGCAGTCCACATTCTTCTTCAACGTGCCACTTCGGAAGGCCACCCGCCACCACCAGCAACACATAATAGTTATAATTATAACTCACAGCCTTCACCATCTATCAATATTCCTTATCATCATACCGAATTTCCAAACCATGTTCAAAACCATGATTTTAGCATGCCAAAGCCACCACAGTCAAGAGCTGTATACAATTCACAGTTCCAACAATCAACGCATTCTTTTGCATCATCACAACGGCCACAATATCATCCATACAAGTACAATGAAGGACAGAACGTGCCAACATACACGAGCGAACCTCCGCCGTATGACTACCAAAATGGTCCTACGAACCAGTTCTCTCACCAACACCAACACCGACATCAACAACAGCAATCCACCCAATATGTGCAAGATCCTACACTTGTTCCATCATCCGCATCTTCATTTAACCTCCAAACAACATTTGGTAATATGCATCTATCAGCTGACCATCCTGATAATGTCATACCGACAAATAATCATTGTTCACTGAATACGGTAAATAATACTTATTCATTATCGTCTAGCGGTAGTGGTGTTTCCACATCCGAAAAAGTCATGAATGATGGCAGCAACGACGAAATTCGAAAGATGAATAATACCCACTTGCTTGCAGCCTACAGAGATGCATATAATAAGCGAAATCACGCGACGAGTAACATTGTATATAACGAATTGAAGAGTCGTTGCTACGGTGATCATCCGTTGTTGTTGCAGGAAAAACGAGCACTTTTTGACTCAATCTCTAAAACATATCAAGATCAATCGCTTATCGAACTGACTCAGTTGCAGAGAAGTGTTCATAGAAAAATACAAGATTGTTTGATGAATGACGATGCTACACATATCAATGATGTACCAAGCGAGTACATTGTTGAAGCTGCTGCGTTAACTCGTCTGATTGCGGCCGCCAGTTCCCATGCCAATTCAACGTATTCAAGTTAATTTAGTCTATTTTTGAATTGAAATTCTTCTCTTCATGTTTTTAAGAGTTTATATGTTTAATATAAAATTTTAAAAAATGGTATTCGTTTCAATGTCTAATGTGTGTGAGGTATGAGTGTGGGTGTAGGTGTTGGTGGGTGAGTATGGGCGTCGGTGTGTATATTTTCTTAACACATACCATACTCAAATTCACTCACTTATACCCTGGCTTGCTTGAGTCTTATATATACTGTTTCTCACATCCCACTTTTGCAAGAGACATTTCAAGCATATTTTACTTTGCTGTTTAATTTATTACTCAGTATTTTGCTCATTTGAGTTATTTTCTAGGCAGAATATAATATAGTGAGTCTGAGAGAACAAAAGCAAAGAATTATTTATTGGCAATATGGTATCTTGTCGAGTTTTGACACAATATAGACTAGTTTTTTGATGAGCCATGATGTTTACTGAAGAAAGATAAAAGATAACAAGATAGCAGAGTAATGAATAATGGTTGTTCTAATATGAGGAAAGATTTATCGTTTTCGCTAGATTCTACGAAATAATCGAGCTTTTCAACAAATTACTAAAGAAAAAGACAATGATCATTCCACACGTTCAGAACTTTTGTTATGAAACCACAACGAAATGAGGCAGTGTGACAATCATAAGTTAGCCTCATTTTCAAAAGTTTCAGCAAAACTATTTTTCTCATAGATTAAACTTCCCATTGAAATATATTATTTCCATATATCATGCATTCACACAGAGCTTATCCATTGCTGGTTGAGGAAAAGTTCTTTTTTTTTAGTGATGCTATGAAGTATCCGAGAATGTGGGTCTGGATGTTGATAAACAGAAGACCTGCATTGTTACTCTTATCCACAGTCATTCATATCCACACCCTTTTTTGTATTATAGACGAAACCTTTCCCAGATCAGACCTCGTTAGGTTGAGGTATGAGAGAAAATGAGATCATTACTTTCTTCTTTTTAACCATACTGGGATTCACACTATGTCGAATAATCAGAATTGAAATTATATTGATCTTTCAGACTGCACTTTGAATATTATCGACTCACAATTGATCAGAGGTCCACAATCTTTTGCTTCAATTCTTTTAGATGCGAAGTCTTCAATTTATTAGAATAAGGGTGTGAGTGTATGGGGTGGTGGTGTGGGTATCGGTGTGGGTGGTGTGGGGGTGGGTGTAGGTGTAGGTGTGTGGGTGGGTGTGGCTATGGATGTGTGTGTATGCCTGTGCTGGTATGTATGCGTGTGAGTGTCGGTGAGTGTGGCTGTGGATGTGGATGTGGATATGGATGTGCCTGTGCTGGTATGTATGCGTGTGGGTGTGAGTTTTACTCTTCATCTCACTAACACCCACCCATACTCACACCCACGCCCACGCCCACACTCACCCACACCCACCCACATCCACACACCCACACCCTCTAGAAAGTGTTACGTAACGAAAAAAAGAAACCAATTTTTTTTTATTAGTCTGCTGTACTCAAAGTAATCGATAGTTTGAAATTTCATTTTTTTCTTTGATTAATAATCCAGGAGCAGTGTATTTATGTATATGTCGTCTCGAAGTTGTAACTTCGACAGTAAATTTTGTTGAAGGCAGACTTCAATAATAAATTTTTGTCGAAACCATTTGCAACATGTAACTGAATAGCTTTCATCGAGAGGTGAACATCTTTGTAGCGATTTTTTGATAGAAGACATGGTGTTGATGGCATTACACTTTATTTGATTTCTTCTTATCATGAATCGCCTTGCTTGCATACAAAGCACATGCTTATGTACACAGCTGGTGGAGCGATGTCATAATATTTCAAGGACAAGAAATACAAAGTAATGACGAACTATAAAATGAAGAGAAACAAGGAATAATAGATAAGCTCAAATGGGAGCGTTAAAATTATCATCTTGGATAATACATAGAAACTTTTCTTTTCAGCTAAACAATATTCATAACTATGTTTATAAACACTCATTTTAAAAAATGTACAAATCATTTAGAAATAAGCCATTTTGTTTTATTAACCTCTTTGAGCTTCCTACTTATTTGGAATGCTAAAAATGTTTGACTACAGTCTAAAATGTCCCCAATATTTCGTCCTTGGAAAAGATGTCCTCCGTCGAAATGTCCTTGCAAAATGTTCCCTTACTATAAAATGGACATTTTGAGAATGAAAAACATTTTTTCGAAAGACAAAATATCGCGGACATTTTTCCAGGAACACTTTAGACTGTTACCAAAAATCGACTCATCCGTGAAGAAGTGTCAAGTATTTCACATATCAACTCAAATAAATAAAATATAGATGAGAGTCGATGTTCTCATCATTCTCGAGTTTTATTGCTAATTATATTCGATTGTAATTAAGCTTATGTATGTAAAGCTAATTATGAAATGCGCAATGAAAGCCAAATATAATTAAAATAAGGAAATTATTGACCATGGATAACTTCGATAAATGTAAAAGATATGGGTAAATAGATGAACAATATAGTATACTCAAATATTTCTATGTCGAAGTGAAGCGCACACATCATCACAAGTATACATCTGCAATATGAGTGCTACACACATACAATCACCTATAGTTCTACAAATACAAAAACTTAGCAATACGAGACCCGAAGTGATTTCATCAACGACAATAAACAACTTATGTGAAACCACATGTTCTACAGCAATACCAACTCTAACAACAACCAGTAGCATGACAAAGTAGACACAATGATTTCGTTGTAGAATTGTTGTATATATATATAACTATTGTTATAGATATTGTTTAGCTGAAAAGAAGAGTTTCAATGTGCGATTCAAGACGACGATGTTCAGCCTTCTTGATAAAAGATATTTAATTAGCTGTTGCAAAATAACTTCGACAAAATTTTTTGTATCGAAGTTGTAGCTTCGGCAAGTAGTGCACCATCGGCACGACATATATATTTTGTATCATAATTAGAAACTAAGAGACAAATGAAAAGAAAAGGTCAAGCAATGGAATTTCTTATAGCTCAAGAGAGTTAGCAAAAAGAAAGAGAAGAAGATAAATTTTAGACATGAAATATCGTCTTGCTTGTACTTCTCCCATTACTTCTTAGATGTTCTTTTATATACAGTAGTTAGGTTTTACATGAAATTGATAGTTTTAACTTAATAATTCATTTACTATTTCGTTGCATGGTTAATCTTATCTATTAAGTAATGAATGGATATTATATTTCTATATTCATGTATTTGTCGTTCTTTTTATATTTAACAATTGACTTTTAAGCAAATACATCAGACATTGATATTAATAAAAAAAAGTGTTTTTGAGCAAACAGTTATTAAATTATTCCTGTAGCATCTGAGAAACTCGTGGATATTTTTTACTGGCATCATATTTCTTCTGTTTCTAATAGTTCATTGAGGAAATAAAAAGCATCATATTTTTATAATACTAAGGACTTCATACAATAGTGGAGTCAAGTGAAGTCATGGAATCTGCCGTTTTCCCCTTGCCAGCAAACCAATAAAAAGGAAGTTAATTGTAAAAAAAGTATTCAAACATTCTTGTGCGGTACAACTACAGAAGAACGGCAGTCTCTGTCTCATGTTGTGATTCTGCAGTAGTACCCAAAGCTATAGTATAGCGAAAAAAAATTAATAACAAATGCTATGATATATAGATAGTTTGTTTATTAATATAATTACAATATGGGTTCTCTTCCATCTTCAAATACATTCTATATTGATACTAGATGCTAACAAGCAAAAAAATGTACACATTATTTTCTAACTTACTCCTGAATTTTGTACAAGACAAAATAACACACTTTCATGACCTCAGTCGTACCTTTGATTGATTACTAAATCACGTTTTAATTGATCTTATAGTAAAATAAACAGTTGATGCTGTCATGTTATCGACAATAACTTAAAGCCTGACGTATCAGACGTTTACATTATTCGATAAAAGAATGGTTTGTTGAAGTTTCTCAACAAAATAAACAATCGAAAGATTCATAATCTTAGTTCTTTTTCTTTAGTTTTTACAAAAGAATTTTCTAATTTTTATTAAATTATAGACTGACAATGCAGTCAGTCACAAACGAAATTCCGATGATAAATCTCATATATACGATTCTTTGGATGGAGCGCATTCCACCCGACTCTTTGTATGATTAATGATAAAAAAGTGATTCTAAGAAATATACCCCATTGACGTGACTATTCATTCATTTATATATTAAATAAATATGATATTTCAGTCGATAAAATTTATCTGTTATCGCCATTTTTCAAGCTCTTTTAGGTCTGTCGACTACGGATGATTCACTTTTAAGAAATGTCATTTTTTTCGTTTATAAACTTGTTTCGTTCTCTTAGCAGATTCTCATCTATATGTCATTCAAAAGACAATTTAGTGAATGATGAAATTTAAAAGTCGATGGCTTCAGTTTTATTATTTTCTTCTTTCTTCCCTTATCGCTTTTAAATACTTGCACGTAAAAAAAATTTTCTATCAGCCTCCTTCATCATTGTGACTAATCGAAATATGCAAAAGCTCAAGAATGAAACAAATTTGTATATAATAACAATACAAAAAATAATAATGATTATTTTTTCATTTCAGATTCATAAACGATGAAATTATTTCTTAGAGCATTTGTAGTTTTTATTCTCTTGTTTTCAACTGCATCGTAAGTTGACTAAAAATAATTATTCTTTCATTCATCATAATTATTTTCTTTCAGAGGTTTTTTGTTGTCATCATGCAAAAAATGGTCTGAAACATGTCGAACAAGTACTGATTGTTGTCCAATGAAGGGTCATCGTATAGTATGTGCTTCACATCGAAAAATATGTGGCAAAAAAACATGTTGTATTACTGAAGTCGAAGTACAACAAGATAAACAAGCATCTATTATTCGAAATCGTCGTCCTAAATCAAAATGAATTTTGGCAAATATTGCTTGCTGAAGAAGAAAAACAACAATGAGGAACACATATTTTACATCTAAAAAAAAAGTCTTTTGATTTGTTTGTCATTATATTTTAACCATTTTTACAAATATAAAAAAAAGCAGATGTGTTATTTGTTTTTTCAATAGCATATTAAGATATGAACAAACCTCTAAATCCACACACTCACAAATTTCAAAATCACAAAGAACTCGATTTATTTAAGATAAGATAGAACATAAATGATCATCACCACAAAGAGACACGATGGATGTGTACCTGAAACAAGTTAAACATTTATCTTTTCTATACTGAGTTTCTTTTATATTTTGTGCCGCTAGCTCGACATTCTTTCTCCATATCTAATGGCAATTTGTCTTGATACAATCGACTGAAGGTCGCCACTGGACACATTGTACTTGGACATCCTGTAAATATACGTAATAAGAAAAGTCATTATCTTTCTCAGTTGTTACCTGGTAGTTGAATGAGCTGAGTTGTTCGACCGTCAGTTGTGTTCAAATATTCAAGTTGAATGGCATATGAATTGTCATCTAAAAAAAACGCGTCTGATATTTAACACAAGTATACCGGTTCTTTCCTTTGTTTTTTTGCTTTGCTTTAGAGGTAAAGATAGAGAATCAATACATGGCTTTCAATTATAGCATGCCTATTTTCTTTTGATATACCTTGCTGGTAGAGATCGAAAAAGAGTGCACTGGCATAGGCAGGCAGATGAGGATAATTGACGCCGAGAAACGCGAGAACAGGAGATATGGTTGTACTATGCTATAATACGCATAAAAACTCAGTCAATTGTTTTTTTGTATTCAAATCCTTACACCCGAATAGATTTTGGCTTTGCGTCCTGTTGAATTTTTTGACATCAAATTTTCCATATTGTTCATTACGTCGCGCACAAATGGACCTATACAATAATTTTTCAATTTCGACAAGAAAGAAATAGACTTCAGAAGCTTACCACCACGTAGACGATTGGCTTCGGGCAAATAGTAAGCATGATACTCGAACAAATTGAGTATTTGACGAAGTTCATTAAGAATAGGCGGGGTGACCCATGAAGGAGCCACATTGTACAAGTCCTAGGCGAGAAATATGACTTTTTTTCCAAGACATGAGTTCATACCATGGTCTCCACCTTACCTCGATAATAATCGTATCGGTTATATAAAACGCAACGGATAAATCGGGAACTGATTGACCTGTATTGTTTTCGAGAAATCGAAAGAGATCCTATGAATGGAGCAAAACTAGAATTCTCTATATCGAAAAATAATTTAAACTCACTCGAAACTGATTGTTGATACTTTGAATTCGTTCACTATCAACACTCGCAAGCACCAACTCATCGTATCGGGCACAATTGCTGACACCCATTAACTAGAACAATACGCCATTGTCTAATCATCTTTCAAAGAAAACTACAGACGTGATCGTTATATGTAGGCACAGTATGCACAGGAATGGGCTGCCACGGAAGAGCCTCTGGCCAAACATCTGATGTCATCCAATGTTGTGTCAATTTGTTGTTCTCCAAAGAAGGATAGAGACCGACAAGAGTTGAATAGGCCGACATGAGTGTGCGATCTAAGTCTGAACTACGAATAGTAATCTGAAGTTCGACAGAGAGAGAGAGAGAGAAATGCATAAAAAGAAAATAATAATATACTTCTGAAGTGATATAGGTCGAATTGAGCAGAGTTGAGTAGCGCTCTCGAAAATATTGACCAAGACGAATGTGTTGTAGTTGCCCACGACGTGTCAATTGGCCAAGACCATTAGGCCAGAAAAAAGGATCATTCGGATCCGATGGATATTGAACAAATGGTGATCGATCCCCATGGCGAAACAACTATTCTATCGATAAGTACAAGGTAAATCTTAAAACATCTACTTACAATATGAGTGCCTATAAGTTTTTGAGAATGACAGTAATCATGAAGTATGAAGAAAAGAACAAATATCCAGTAAAGCATTGTTCTTGTTTCGAGACAATTGATAATGATCGATCCGAGAGATAGTAAGGATTATGTGTGTATGCGAAAAATGGTTTGAAATAAAAAGAAAAGCAAATAAGTAACAATGATAAATATGTTACTCGCACATAAATCCATTGAGGATTAGGACACTTTAAACTATTGCTTGCAGTAGTAATCAAGACAAGAACAAACGTGAAGAATAACAATCACATCATTGTTTGATTCTGTTTGTCAAGAACAAAAAATAACGTTTTTTGATCTTTGTAGTGATCTATAAAATACTTAAATATGATTGAGTGATGGAGTTATAAATCAAAAATAATGTCAGAAGAAAAAAAAATAAAAATGAGATTGTTTTACGATCGTGGTCTCTCGTCCATTGTGCTTTGATCAGTGTCACATAATGAGATTCAGGCAATGCCAAAATTTGTCAATAAGAAGTAGGGCATACGTAAACAGATGTTTGCACAAACGTTAGATACGGCTGACAGAAGCAATTATGTGTTTGAGAATCCTCAACTTTCACTATAAACTATTTGTACAATATTTGTGTTTATTTTTATGATAAACAAGTACTCACAACAAAAATACCAACTCTCGTTGCTTCTGACAAAAACTTAGTTTGGTCATTTCGGTACCAGTATCGCGAATTCTCGCTACATACCTGTGAGTTATAGTGATTGTTTCTCTCTTTCGACATTAATTATTCCTCTTCTTGACTGATTCTGTTATAATATGAATAGCGTGAAAAATAAACAATCGTTCTAAATGTCTGCAAGATATTTACTCTTTTTTCTCTCTAGTCGAGCTTTGTATTGATAGACTCAACTGAAAATCTTATAAATTGTATAAGAAAAAGAACTTGTTCATAAGGATTTTACATACCTGAATTTTTTGTTCAGTGCCGTAAATATCCAGGTGATCTTTTGGCAAAGAACAAGTGCGATATAATTCTAAAACTTTCTCTAAATTGCTCAATAATTTAGCGTAGTTTTGAAAGATAGTTGCATAAATTCAACTGCTCCTACTGTGTATGTCTTAATCTTTATGTGATGGACATGCATTTTCTCTTATTTCTAATGCTTTTTTTAAGGTAGATTAATCTATTCAAGTAATTTTGAAAGCCATTGCAGTAAACGAAAACAACATTTGCGTACATCGCTGCTATACTAACATGATTTGGAATGCACAATTTGATCAAAACTATCTCAATCAAAGCTATAACAAAGTCTCTTTCTTAGGGATCTACAAAGTGATTCCGACGATTTTGTTTTTTGTCAAATGCTAGACTAGAGATTTTTGTTTTGACTAAGAATCTGCAAATAATACATTTTTATTGACGATTCTAATAAAAGTCTTCTATTGATGCCATTTCTGATTTAAAGAACTGAAATTGCTCAATAACTCCTATAAATTTTTAGATAGACAAATCAGTACAACATACATAAATTTGGTTCAACAGCAATTTGGCTGTTCTTCTGATTATACATTTTTTTGTCATTGTTTTCTTATTTCTACTATGAACTTTTAAGTGTTGTCTATATTTCATGACTTTCAGGATGTGTAAAAGGACTAGCAAAAACAAACATGCTCGGGACTCGAAAACTCACCGTATAGGAACATATTTTTTGAAAACTGACATTCGACTTGTCGAATCTAAGATCAAATTCAGCAAAAGTATTCGAAATCATTACATATGACATATCATGTCATTCGAATATGATTGAAATATTTCGTATTTTCACGACGACATGATGAGAATATCTTGTAGAAGATTCTAGATGTTGTCGAATAACGCCTTCGATATTCGATTATCAAGATTCGATCGAAGAGACATTGTCATGTCCATAATTATTATCAACCCCCAATCAGTAAGATTGATGAAATGATAGACACCAATTTTTGAAATGACAATGCACAATACAACAGAATTACCTATGAAAGCATTACTTTTTTTTTTATCTTTCGTTACTTTCTCACTCCATTCAATATATCTTGTTGATGTGAAAGAGAAAAAAATTGAATCAATAAAAGAGATCCATGTCGGCAAGGAAGAATCAAACTTTGCAATGTGAAATCGTAGTGGTTTTTCATTGAAGATAAATTTCATGTTTAGATAGATGGCACATCAACAACTAAAATTACTTGAGCAAGGGTATGTGGATGTATATGTGCGACTCCTCTGCAGTTACTGCCACTAAAACATATTCATATCTACACAAAGATGATAAAATCTCAATCAAGTAGACTCTAGAAATAAATATAAAGTTTGTTGTAAGACATCTTCTATTTGGGCAATATGTGAATTTGAAAGCTATCAAATCTATCATTAATTACGGATACAGCTCTGAGTCTCATGATTATGTTGTTAATTAAGATAAAATTCGACTTTTAGAACAGACATAATATCTTATACAATGTTGTGTATAGATATAAAACTTTATTGATATACTATTGTGTACATGAAAAGAATAAAATAAGTCGAGGACTAAGAATAAGTATAAGTTTTAGATGCGGTGACTTTTTGTAGGATGAGGCACTATTTGATTCTAAACGCATAATGAATGTTGCAGAAACATTAGTTTGGTTTAAACAATCTATGTTGAGTGTGAGCGTAGTTCTTCTCATCATCAACACCCACATTTCCTTCATACCCTACCTTCACCCAGGAGAATGTAAATATGCATGAAGAGAAGATTTACACGCCCATTTTTATTAAAGAAAAATTATTGTTACCAAAAATGTTTTGATTTTTATTTCAAAAATTCGTTGTACAATGAGTTAGTTAGTATGACAATGAATATTTGAAGCCATGTTTGTCGAAACGGACAAAACCGATCAATAATGAGTAGTGATACTGTTTGATTTGCTTGACATGTTTGTAGCTAACCAATATATTAGACTGCTCATTTATGCTCTTACCAAGCCTTACATTTTTGGAATACGACAGTTGATAAATGTTCGGATCGCTTCAATATTATTTTTGCATCACCCACATATGTAATATCAATATTAAGACGTTTGATATGACGATGTAATCTCAAACAGATAGCATTGAAAGTTATCACCTCTATTCTCTTCGAATAATAGCAGTTTATTTGAATTGAACGAAGATATCATACTTATTTGAATAGTGTATACATTTCCATTTCCAAACTCGTAGCAAACTTACACTCCCACTTGAAAAGCAAGCGTATTTTTTGAAGATTTGCTGTATTCAGTATTGCTGAAAGATATTCAATTGAGCCAATAGGTCATATCTGATCGATCATGAGTGTACGGTCTATCACACTTTGAAATCGATAACTCGTTTTTGTATTAATCTAACAACAAATATTGTGTAATCTTTAAGAAAATTGAAAAATAAAATATAAAACTATTCTATATCAAAGTATCAGACACAAAGTACAGATCGTTTTCCTACAAAATCAAGAAGTCTTTTCAAATAACTTTATATTGAAATGAAATTAATTTTCTTTTTTAAAGTAGCTTAAATCGACTTTGAAACTTTAGAAGCTTTGTCTTAAACAATATGATCGAATAAATGATTCATAATATTAGAAAGAAATGTTTTGTATTAATTGTGTTTTTTTCTCAAAATCGAGTTTTCCTCGAAAATATACTGTATCCTATTTATTTCTCTGAGATAGTGAGAAAGATCGAAGAAACATTGTTTCAACGATAATGCATCTGTAAAAATAATTTTATAGGATAATTAAAAATCAATCGATTACTTGTAAAGAACAATGTCTAATCAATCATTGTCTATTTTTAAAAAAAAGCTACATTATGTAATCAAATTTATTAGTAGTCACCGGTATTCGATTAAAATGTTTCATTTATCACTTTTTTAGTATTATATTACTTTGAATCAAATATAATAATGATTATTTAATTATATTATTACATAGTTGGACTCTGTTTTGGATCGATAGACTTTCAAAGCAATTCGAAAATATTACTGCTCTCATTCTAGCAGATCTTGTAAAACATTACATAGTCAAACAAAGCAAACAACTTTAGAATGCTTTCGTACATTCCCATCTTATCAAAGTGAAACAGTATATAATAAAACTAATTCGTAGTTTACATAAAAAAGAGTCAATGAACGTAATCGAATGAATCCGTCAATATGAAAGTGGAAAAGAAATAATTAAATTTGATTAGGTGTTTCAATTTCATGCGAAATCTTAAGTGAAATAACATTTTTTACGATTAATAGTGCATGCCATGAGAGGTAGATCAGATTTTAAGATATAACAAAAGCTCAGTTCATAGCAAATGCAGGCATTTGCAATGGAAGAGTCATTTGCACACACACAGTGAATTGAAAAAAACAATTGTCTGTGTATCAAGTTCATCGAATATTCGATGAACAAGCTCAATGGGTAATATTTAAAGATAAGATTCCTTTTTAGTAGACATGAACCGACGTACGTATAATATGTTTAACAATGTGTCGTATCTAAGTATATAAAAATTAAAAAAAACAGCAAATGCACGCATATCTATTCATCGAAATCTCGAGAAAAGAAATGTAACAGTAAGTCGCAAACTCACATTCCGAATATATTGACCTACGTTTGAAATTATAAGAAAAATAATAGATTCAAAGTGAATATGATTGAAAGAACATTTATTTGATTTTGCTGATTTAATCAATTTCGTAGAATATTGTGTAAGATTATTCATTTTTATAGCAGAAGAAAAAAATCATTGATTAATCTGATAAATATAAAATAAACACTAGAGAATTTTCTATCGAAGAATTTGACATCTAAATCTATTTCAAGAGAATTCGCGTAAATACAAGAATATTGAAATGAAAAATCAATGATCCGTTTCATCTATTGAAATTCAGGAAAACTTCAGTATCAGTGAAATACTCAAATTGGAAACTTGGCTTCGTTCAGATGATGACGATTAATACTCATAATCAATGACGTGAAAAGTAGTAGATTATATTTCAAATAATAATAATGAAAAATAAATCTTAGAAAAAAAAAATACCACAAAAATGAATGCGCATTGGATAACTATTTGGCTAGATCAAAGATCTTGCCTATCTATCATCGGTAGTAACAGCACAATTCATATTGTTTTATACAAAATTAAAATCGAAAAATAAAATGAAATACACAAAAATTACAGGGATTTGCAAGCATTATATAATCACTCAAATCAAATGCATATATAAAACGAAATTGCAGACATTGATGTTTAGGTAATGATTTTATTATTAACTCATTATGAGATAAATGTGGGTAAAAATTAAGATGTGACAAACAAACATCCACACTCATAATAGACGTATGCAATGGTCTGATAGATTCTTATCAATATATTTCTATCAAAAGTTTATTCCGATAATAATTATGTTTAATAGAAAAGAATTACATTTGAAAATTTTAATCTAATGAATCGAGTTCGATTCCAAGTTCTTCTGAAATTCGTCCAATATTCCATTCCATCTCCCATATTTTATAACTCCCGGAATTCAAACATTTTCTGTAGATAATTAATGCTTGCTTGTAATAATCAAGTGCCACTGTAGGTTGATGAAGTTTTTCATAAATCTCACCTATGTTCGATAAACTATTGCCAATATCCACATGATCTGGTGGTAGAACTTTAAGACGCATTAAAAAATAATTCTGTTCATATATAAGAGACAATTCATGTTGATCTCTCATATTTTGTAGTTGTAAAAACCATTGAAATACGTTTGTAATGGAAAGATCTTTTAAAGATAAACTAGCTTCTACAATCAATAACCACCTTTCCAAATATTCAATAGCTAGATCGAGTTGAAATTTTCTATTAAAGTTGGCAACAATCCAAGATAGGCAAACAGCAATTTGAATATGATCATTGGGATAATGTTCTTCGAATACGATTAACGCTTGTTGATAGAAATCAAGAGATTCATCATATTTTCTTTGTTCAAACAAGGTATTACCAATATTCTTGAGACTATTAGCAATTTTCAAATGATCAATTGGCGACTTACTTTTGAGAAATATCAATGCTTGTTGTTGAAAGTCAAGAGCTTCATCATATTTTCTTTGTTGTTTTAAAGCATGAGCTATGTTGTTCAGACAAATAGCAATATTTGAATGATTAGAAGAATCTTTCTTATAAAATTCCAATGCTCGATTATAAAAGTTGAACGCTTCATCATATTCTTCTTGACCACTCAATATATTACCAATAGTATTCAAACAACAAGCAAGATTTGTATGATCCAATGGATAACATTGTTCATAAATTGTCAATGCTCGTTGACAGAAATCGAGAGCTTCATCATATTTTTCTTGTAAATATAGTGTATTACCGATATATTGTAGACTTTTAGCAATGTCAACATGACCAGATGAACAACAGTTTTCAAGAATCGTTAAAGCTTGTTGATAATAGTTGAGTGCTAAATTGTATTCTTTTTGATCAAATCGAATATGACCAATCCGATTCAAGCTATCCGCAATACTTTCATGACAAGTAGAATAGTTTTCTTCTCGAATTTTCAATGCTCTCTGTTCAAACTCAATGGCTTCATTGTACTTTTCTTGATCTTGTAGAACATTGGCAATGTTTATCAGAATATTAGCAATATCAATATGATTAGTTGCATCAAAATTTTCTCGAACTGTTAGTCCTTGTTGATAGAAATTAAGTGCTTCATCATATTTGTTTTGCCCATAAAGAGCTAATCCAATATTATTAAGAACAGTAGCAATGCCAGAATAACCAAATGGATCGAGTTTCTCTCGAATAGCTAATGATCGTTGATAGAAATTAGTAGCTTCATCATATTTATATTGGCTATATAAAACATTACCAATAGAGTTCAAGCTCTCTGCAATATCGATATGAGCAAATTCATCATGTTTTTCTTGAATAGTCAAGGCTTTTTCATGAAACTGAAGAGCTTCATCGTATTTCTTTTGTTTATATAGAGTGTTACCAATAAAGTTGAGAGTTCGAGAAGTTTCGATGTGTCCATCAGAATATACGTTTTCTTGTATTAAAAGTGCTCGTTGATAATAGTTATTTGCTGCATCATACTTTCTTTCCTCATACAAAATATGACCAATACGATTGATAGTATCAGCGATGATGACATTGTCTGATGAAAAATATTTTTCTTGAATTTCTAATGCTTTTTGATGATATTCAATCGCTTTGTCAAATTTTTTTTGTTGGCGAAATGTTGTGCCAATATAAATGAGAGTTCTAGCAATGTCTACATGACCATTCGGATAATATTTTTCTTGTATTTCTAATGCATGTTCATAAGATTTTAAGGCTTCATCATGTTTTTTCCGTTGAATGAAACCATGGCCAATGTTATTGAAAGTATTGGCTATTTCATACTGACAAGATGAACAATATTTTTCTTGTAATTCTAATGCTCTTTGATAATAATTAAAAGCTTCATCATAATTTTGTTGTTTGCATAATATATTCCCAATATTGTTCATAAGAGAAGTAATGTTAAGATAATCAGATGAACATTGTTTTTCGACAATTGCTAGTGCTCGTCGATGAAAATCAACAGCGTCATTATACTTACGTTGCTTTTCTACGATATTAGCTATATTATTGAGGCTAAAGGCCATTGAGGCATCTTCTGAAGGAAAATAGCTCTCTTGCATTGTTAGCGCTTGTTTACTAAAGTATAAAGCTTCATCATATTTTGATTGACAAAATAATGTACTGCTTATGTGATTGAGAGTCTCAGCTATGTTTGCATAATAAGATGGATAATATTTCTCTTGAAGTGATAGTGCTCGTTGATGAAAATCCAGAGCTTGATCATACTTTCCTTGTTCTCTGTGTAGATAGCCGATATTGTTTAGAGTACAAATAATGTGAACATGACCAGGAAAATAATATTTCTGTGCAATTTCTAGCGTTTGTTCATAGAATGTCAAAGTTTCATTATATTTTCCTAGTCTATAATGAGCATTTCCTATTAGACAAAGACTATAAGCTATATCGACATGCCCAAATGGATAATACACTTGCAGCATTGCCAATGCTTGTTCATGCATTTTCAGAGCTTCATCATGCTTGCCTTCGTGATAAAAAATGTAACCAATGTGATTCAGAGTAGAGGCAATATATACATGACCATTTGGATAATAACTTGCATAGATTGACATCGCTCGTTCACAGAAATCAAGAGCGTCATTGTACTTTCTTTGATATGTAAGTATTTGACCAATATGCATAAGAGTAATAGCGATATCGATATGAGGAGATTGGTAATATTCTTCAAACATCTCTAGTGCTTGCTGATAAAAGATCAGTGCTTCATCATACTTGACTTTCTGGAAGAGAATTTTGCCTAAGCTACGAAAACTAGCAGCAATAAACACATGGCCATCCAAATGAGTCTCTCTCTGTTGTAACCCATCGGTTTTCTGTAAATTTCGACACATTTTTTGTAACTGAGTCATGCGCGATTGTTCTTCAACAGGTTTCATGATGTTTTCCGCATGTTTTGAACGAAACCAACGAACAATTCTTAGTAAATATCTAGTCAAAAACCATCTAGAATTCGATTGAAATAGTTCACCTAAATTCAATAAAAGTGACCAGATTGAAACACGTACACGACTTAGCAAACTACTGTATTGATAATTCTGTATACACGATGTATCAAACTTAGTAGAAGAATAATATTCTTTTCGCATTGACAATGCTTGTTCATAATAATCAAGAGCTTCTTCATATTTTCCTTCTAGATAAAGAATTTCACCAATATTAAAGATTATATCAGCTGAATTCTTAATCCTTGTTGGTTTCAGATTTTTCATCCGTTCATAAGCATGTTCAAAATATTTCCGTGCTTCACTCCATTCTCCTTTCCATTGAAGAACTTCGCCAAGACTATATTCAATTTTTGCGATATCTTCATTTTTACTATAAGAATCATTCAATAAATATTGAAAGAATTGTTGTGATTGATTCCATTGACCCATATCAGACATTAATCGTCCAAAAAGAGCTTTAATGCTCAGATCTTCCATTTGACGATGTGAGTCTTTGATATATTTTTCTTTAATCTTTTGACCTTCATTCGATACAATCATTTCAATCAACCACATTTCTTCTTCCATTCTTACACTCTTCAATCGAAAAGTGACATTTAAATCAAACAGAATTTCTTGTTGTTCTTCAGTTAGTAATTCATTGAAATAAACGTTGTTATCCAGATGTTTTAAATCGCATTGAATTTCTAGGAGAACAGGAATGAGATCAGTTCGTTTCGAAGATTTCAATGCATGGTTCAATGCAGTTGAACGAAGAATACTTGTTATGAAAAATCCATTCATTGAAATCAATTTACCTTCGTTCTCTTTAAATTGTTCAATTTGATGTATTGTCAGTTTCATTCCACGATAGATGAAAAATATTTCTTTATCAGATTGAACAATTTTTTGATGTTTACAAGCAAAATTTTCTATCAAATCTTTCATAAAATATCGAAATATGTACAGTTGATTGAAATCTTTGGTACGCAATGCTTTATTGATGATTTTGTAGAAACAAGATTTTTTCAAATACCATTGAAAAACTTCTTCTGGTCGATATTCTTTCTTGAAATTTTCAATAATTTCTAATTCATTAATATTATCTCGATAATAGAAACAACAAGCATTGATCATTTCTTGTTTAACTTTTTCATCATATGTTAAATCAAAGAGAA